TATTTCACATGGTCATGTCATCAATACTCCTCATAAGGTCCGCATAGGTATTCACAGAGAGCATTCTTGTTCATATTAAAACTCATTTATTATTAACATTAATTTCATACTCATTTATTACTTTCAACAAAGAACAAAGTATAATAAATAGAAAATCGGACAGAACAACGGCACCTTTAACAAAAACAGAGTAGAGTAAATAGAAAATCAAACAGAACAACGGCACCTTCAACAAAGAACAAAGTAAAGTAAATAGAAAATCAAACAGAACAACGGCATCTTCAACAAAGAACAAAATAGAGTAAATAGAAAATCAGACAGAACAACGGCAAGGGATTGGGGGCCAATCCGACAAACAACTATCCAACAATTATCCCCACACCCCTGAGCGAGGTTCTCACTCCCCCCCTTACCTGGATAAGCAGGAGCTGGAACTTGGGCAGGGCCTCCTCTGGATTCTCTCTTTCTTCCCTCTCTTTCTCTCTTTCTTTCTCTCTCTCTCTCTCTCTCTCTCTCTCTCTCTCCTCTTTCTCTCTCTAAGATTATCACTTCTTGCTCGGTATAAAATTTTCACCCCCCCTTGGCCCTATTTATAGGCAAACTGGTGTACCCGGAACGGCCCGTATTGAATTCGGAACGGCCCGTTCCGGATCCTTCGAATTTGTGCAAATTTCTCAACTGGAACGGCCCGTTCCAAAATCGGAACGGCCCGTTCCCAAAAAGCAGAACGGCCCGTTCTCCATACCAGAACGGCCCGTTCCAGGCCCGTTCTGGGACTACAAAAACCTCACATTTTCAACATTTGGAACGGCCCGTTCCGGAACCCAAAATACCCCTATAACTTTATTAAAATTACGAAAATGCCATTAAAATAATAATAATAAAAATTTGGGTGTTACACCTAATGTCATGGTAGGCTTACACCCAAGTTATTCTAGCCTAACAGGAACACTATATTTCCTAGTTTAAGTGGTGAAATCCGCAAAATCATGTTATTATGGATTGGTATCCAAATTGGCTGTTGATCCAACAGGTGTAAAAATATTGTGCTGGTTCGATAATGTCAACTCACTTAGATTGCTCACCTCGTTGTAGGACATTTCTATAAGTGAATGCATGTACTTGAGGTGTTATGCATATGATGGTTTGATTTTAGTGTGGTTCATATCCTATGTGGTTTGTTGTTGAATGGCATGGTTGTTGGTGTATGATGAAATTTTTGTTTACCTTTTTAGGTTGTTGAATGCCATATTAAGGTGATATTAAGGTGCTGATTATGTTGTGAACCATGAGGTATGGTGTTGTCCAGTTGATGTTGTTGGTAACATAGTTGTTATACTTCCATACTTGTTATATCTGTATTCTTTTGAATACTAACTTACCTTTGAATACTAACTTATCTTTGCATGTTTTCCTTGTGGTTGAATTGCAATGATTATGTTTACATGAGAGTATGATAAGGTTAGGCTGAAGGCAAGGTTTGGTTTTTGTGAAGCCATCTTAGAGGATGGCTTGCTATTATTTTGTTAGATTACTCTAATGTAACTAGTTCGTTTAGTTGTTGCTTGACAGACAATTTAGGATTTTTATTTTCAATATTAGATTATTGTACATATTTATACACTTGTATATAGTTATTTTATTTTCTGCAATTGATATTAAAATTTTACATGTATATGTAGTATTGTGCATATATCTAGATATTGTACATATATTAATCCTAGGTAATTGTAACTCTATTTTTTGCAGCTAGTGATTGAACTATTAAGTGTAGGGATCATGACGGGTCGTTATAAATTTAGTCAATCAACATACTTTTTAAACTATCATTCAATTTCAAATAACCACAAACACACACACACACACACACACATATATATATATATATATATATATATATATATATATTTTTGATACAGTGGTTTGGGTGAAGTTGAGATAGTGGAACTCAATCTTGTTGGATTGAGAACTGAATATAGTCTCGGTGATTGAAGTGAACCAATATAAAAATACTTAGTATTCCACCTAATTGTTCTTCTTATTTCATCAGACTAACGTTACCACTTCACTGCAAAAAATATGCGATTTTTTGATATACACTATTCAATTCCTTTCTAGTGTTTATCTTTTCTCTACAATATCAAACACACAAAATTAAATTAATATATTTGTCATGTCAATATAAAAGAAACAACATTAAAAAAATTAACAATAGTAACTAAAAAGATTAAAAAATTGCAAGTATAAGAACTAAAAATATTTATCTTAAATTATAAGAACTAAAAATGATTGAAAAAAATATGCTAAGACTAAAAGAGTTTGTTTTAAAATATAGAGACTACAAGGTAAAGTAAGTTGAACTAAAAAATATTTAACCTATGATATATAATAGATAACAGATAGATTATTAACTTATAAAATACACAAATTATATTATTTTTCTTAAATACATTTATAGTTATCAATGTAAAGTAATTTTATACTGTCATTCACTCATAATTCACTATAAATGACCATTTTCTTGATTTTTATAATAACTACCATAAAAGCCATATAAAATATGATTTAATTGGTTAATTGTGTAATTTTTTTTACATCGATAGTGTATCATCATTAAACTGTAAACTTAAATATATGTATTTATCTATAACAATAATTTAAGTTTAAATATATTTTTAGTCATTGTAAAATGAACAAGTTTTGATTTTACTCTTTATAATTTCTTTCATTGTTTTAAATCCTTCAAAAATGTAGAACTAATGTTTTTAGTTACTATTATTATGTAATCATTTTTAATTATGTATTTATTTATTAAAGAGTTAAATAATCTTCTTAAATATTACTTTAATGATATCATATTTGTATGTGGTATATTTTTTTTAAAAATTCCTTGAAACAAATGTTAACATCACCGTTAAAGATAAAAAATAGTGATTTAGTTAGACAAATAAAAACAATAAAAAATATTTTATAACGATTGAAAATTAAATTTACTCATTTTACAAGAATAAAAAAGTAAAAATAATATTTATAAATTTTAAAAAGATAAAAAATAAAATAATTTTTTTTATAAAAACTAAAATAAAAAATTACTTATTTTTTAAAGATTAAAAATATATTTAAATCTAATATATTTTAATATACATACTTTTTTTTAAAAAAAAATTAGTTTTTATAACAACTTTCAAATCACTCTCCGAAGTTAAAAAAATAAATCTCGTTCTAATGATTTTTTTTTTTATAACTTTTTGTAATCCTCTAACTAATCATTTAATTTTTAAAAAAATATAATAGAGGTATAGAATACCTCTCTACCACGAGTTACTGTAAATGAAATTATAATATTAAATTTGTAGCCCAATAAATCAATCGTTTTTATCATATTTAAAAACGAAATTAATTGTTTTTATCATAATATCCGTTAAAGTTATATAATATTTTATTGGATATTTTAAAATCTTTTACCATCTATTTTCAATGTAAAAGTGATAGCTAACATACTTTTTAAAATAAAAAAAAAATCAATAAAAAATTATATTAATTTTAGAAGTAATATGGTATGGCCGTATGGCCACTTTGCTATTTTTAACATGAGACTTTTTTACTTGCAATATTTTTTTTATTTATTCATTCATATATATATATA